TCTGTGGTTCCTAAGGATACCGAATTGAAATGGAATTGGGAAAAATGCTACCGAACTATACTTGGACCCTTAACCTAAGATCTAATTTTGTTTGTGACTGAAGTTAAGTTGTTAGCTTAATACAGACTGTTATATCAATCAGATATATTATATAAGCCTCATGGTAGCCGCAAAGTAAAAACCTAGAGGGATACACAAAAATTAAAGAGAAGTAAGCCAAAGCATACCAATATAGACAATCATCAGTTCACAAAGGAAGACGTCAAGGGAACAAAGCAACTACAAAACATCTGGAAAACAACAAATAAGATGGCATTAGTACTCTTTACCCATCAATAATTACTTTAAATGTAAATGGACTAAATTATCCAATCAAAAGCTATAGAGTGGCAAAATGAATTAAAAAAAAAAAAATAAGACCCAACTGTATGATGCCTACAAGAGACTCATTTCTGCTCTAAGGGCACACTTAAACTCAAAATAAAGGTATGGAAAAAGATGTTCCATACAAATGGAAACAAACAGAGAGCAAGGGTAGCTATAGTTACATTGGACAAAATAGATTTTAACTCAAAAACTATCAAGAGACAAAAACGGTCATTATATGACAAAGGGATTGATTCTTCAAGAGGAAATAACAATCGTAAATATATATCCAACAAACATTGGAGCACCAAACTATATTAAGCAAATACTAACATATCTGAAAGGAGAAATAGGCAACATTACAATAATAGTAGGAGACATCAATATTCCACTTTTAACAATGGATAGATCATCCAGATGGAAAAATAAAATGGAAACATTGGACTTGAATTATACTTTAGCTAAACTGACTCTCTCTATATATGATATATATATCATTCTACCCCAAAGCAGCAGAAATATACATTGTTCTTGAGTGCATGTGGAACATTCTTCAGAATAGATCATATGTTAGGTCACAAAACAAGTTTTAGCAAATTCGAGAGGAGTAAAATTATACCAAGTGTCTTTTCCAATCACAATGTTATAAAACTTGAAATTTGTAACAGGAGAAAAACTGGAAAATCACAGATACATGGAAATTAAACAACTTCTGAAAAACGAATGAATCAAAAAAAATCAAATGGAATATCAAAAGGTATCTTGAATAAATAAAAACAGAAACTCAACATATCAAAACATATGGGGTGCAGCAAAAGCTGTTCTAAGAGGGAAATTTGTAGTGATAAATGACTGCATTAAGAAAAAAAGAAAGATCTCCAATAATCTAACTTTATACCTCTAGGAATTAGAAAAGATAAAACAAAATAAACCCAAAGTTAGCAGGATGAAGGAAATAACAAAGATTAGAGCAGAAATAAATGAAATGGGGGCCAGAAAATGATAGAAAAGATCAATGAAACTAAGATCTGTTTTTTTAAAAAGATAAACAAATTTGGAAAACCTTTAGCTAGATTTTCCATGATAAAAGGAAAGAAGACTTAAATAAAATAAGAAAAAAAGACATTACAACACATATCACGGATCATGAGATCACTATGAACAACTATATGCCAACAAACTGGATAAAGTAGAAGAAATGAATAAATTCCTAGAACCATACAACCTACAAAGACTGAATTATAAAGAAATAGAATATCTGAACAGACCAATAACAAGGAAGGAGATTGAATCAATAATCAAAAGCCTCCTAATAGAGAAAATCCCAGGACCAAATAACTTCATTGGTTAATTCTATGAACATTTAAAGAAGAATCAATGCCAATCCTGATCAAACTCTTCCAAAAAATCAAACAAGAGAGAATACTCTCAAATTCATTTTATTATTCCAACATTCTCCTCATACCAAAGCCAGATAATGATACTACAAGAAAAGAAATGTGTCGTGATAAATGACTGCATTAAGAAAAAAAGAAAGATCTCCAATAATCTAACTTTATACTTGATGAATATAGATGCAAAAATTCTCAACAAAATACTACAAAATACTACAAAACAAACAACAGGATCGTACACCCTGATCAAGTGGGATTAATCCCTGGGATGCGAGGATAATTCAATATACATGTCAATAAATGTGATAAACATTAATAGAATGAAAGATTAAAAATCATATGACCATTTCAATAGGTGCAAAAACAGACAAAATTCAAATTTTTATCTTTTTATGATAAAAATTCTCAACAAATTGCGTATAAAAGGGATGTACCTCAAAATAATACATGTCATACATGACAAGCCCACAGCTAACATACTCAATGGTGAAAGGCTGGAAGTGTTTCCTCTAATATTGTGAACAAGACGATTTGCCTACTCTCACCACTTGTATTCAACATAGTATTGGAAGTCCTAGCCAGAGTATTTAGGCAAAAAAAAAAGTAAATAATAAATAATAAAAAGGCATCCAAGTCAGAAGAACTTAAAGAACTTAAAGTCGTCTCTGTTTTGCCATGACCTCCTCCTCTGAATTCTTTTGATAATGATGATAAGAATAATACATTTTTTTAAAAAAAAGATTAATACAGCTGAAACTTGTTTAGTATTCGCTATATCAAACATGCTTTATGTCTTATTCCTTTTTAATCTGTATAAAAACATAACAAAGCAGGTACTATTTTTATATTAAAAATGAAGAAAATGAGGAGCCGAGGGATTAAATATTAGGTAGCAGAACCAAAATTTGCTTCAAGATCTCAGTACAGAGCCCATATGCTTAAACATTTTACTATATTTTTCTGTTTATATCACTGAATGTTTGCCTCTTATGTCTCATGTTGTCTTGTATTATAGTTACCTATGAATCTTTCTTTTCTAATATTCATTTGATATAACTAGAAACCATAGATGCACAAGCATATTTATCTAATCTTTCCTTTTAAAGGTTTCCTGACATATTGTTATGCATGTCTTTAAATTTTTATAATTCAAGAAATTTGTGGCAACTTTCTTGAATACTTTTAACCTTTAAATAATTTAAAGATTCTGTCTTATTTTTCTCACAGCATTCAGCACATTTCTTTGAATATCAGAAGCACCAAAATTTTGTTAAATGACTATAGTTAACCCAAGTGTCAGCTCCCAGATGTCTGCAAATTCCTCAGCATTCTAGAATCATATTTTCCTTTAATATTTTAATAGAATGGCTAGAGTCCCTATTCTACATGCATTGGAAAGCTCATTGCTCTTCTGCCCCACATGCCCCACACACTTCTGTCTTATGGGTTGGGAGAGGGCTTCATATATTTTTCCTGCTCACCTGTCACTTGAATTGTTTTCCTTTGAACTCCTGCTATTAGCTCCACTCTGTGACTTGTCTCCTTAGATTGCCATCCTCTCGCTATGCTGGACATTGCTCTACTTGTATAATTGTGTTATATGGTAGACTCTTACTGATGGCCTGGAATATAAAGGAAATTAAAGCATGTCACAGCTTTCATTTATTCATTCTATAATTCATATAAACATTCATTGAGTGTCTAGTGTGGCATTATGATGGGCACTGAGAAGACAATGATAAGTAAACAAATAAAGTCTCAAATATAAGTCATGTTGCTCATATTCAATTCTTAGTAAAACATGAAACTCACACAGGCACATAGATAAATATAAAGTTACAGCTGAGATAGTATGATGAAGGAAAACCTATGGTGAATTGAGAGCGATGGTAGTGGGCTTGGACTGAGAGCTGAAGGGTAAGTAAGTATTGACCAGCCCTGCTGGAGGAGGACACTGGAAAAAGGAATGACAGCATGTGCCAACACACAATAATAGAAGCAAAGTACATCACAGTAACTGCAGTAACTGGAGAAACCATTAAAAGCCACTTAAAACAAATGTACGGTCTACTTCAGGCATCCCTAACAACAAATGTGGTCTTAATACTAAATTTAATGGGGAGTTATTGAACAGTTTGAAGTAGGAGATTGATATGATCCACTTTGTATTTTGAAAAAAAAATTTTTTTGTCTGCTGTATAGAGACAAGAATAAAGAGGGTAAGACATGGTGGACACGGGGACTCCAGGTGAGAGCTGATCATTTGGACTAGGAAAATTATAGTGGAAATGAAGATAAAAGGAAAGATTCAAGAAGTATTTAACGCAGTATAAAGCAAGACCTGGCAATATAAGGGAAGCATAGGGTATCACACATATAGAGCTCTGTATAGGCAGCAACTTGTAAAAAAAAAAAATGCATATAGACATCACAATCATAAAAATTTATCAACTTCTGAATTTGGAAAGTTTTCACTAGCTATGTCTCTCCTTAGACTCTTGCTTATGACCTTTTCTTTTAAACCCAGTTTCTCTCCTTCAAAATCATATTCTTTACCATCATTTGTTGTTTTACATATCTCTGTACTCATAATCATTTCTTCATAATAAGTTTAATAATACAATTATTATGTAAACAGTTTAACAGTAAATCTCCACTAGTTTAGGGCCCAACTTTGCACTGCCAACACTTTCATTGAGCTGTTTCCAAGCTGCCTGCCACAGTTCCACTCTTAGTAATACGGAGAGCTTGGAGAAGTATTGAAGTCACAGCATCTTTTTTTTTTTTTTTTTTTTTTTTTTTTTAGCATATTTTAGATAACATTCTCAGTCTTAGACTTCCACTAGAACTTCATGGGGCTGTGGGTAGCAGTACACATTTTCGTCTCCCCATTGGGCATAGTTGACTTCAAGCTTCCTTAAGCCCTTTACATCCTTGCATTTCATTTGCTACTGACCAGCTATAGTGTTTACATCTCTTAGTAGAAGATTATATTTTTATTATTTTCTAGTACTCACTCTCTGTGGCATGCCCTATCTTTAAAAATGTCAGTTTCAGTAATCCAAAATGGCTTACCCAAACTAAAAGCTAATATATAGTAGGCTATACAGAGTAGGTACTTTATGTTGACAATGTAGAATCAAAATGCTTAATAATGAACTATGACTTTCAAAGCTATATATTCCTGGAAGAAGAAATAGCTATACCTAACATTGTATCTGTTCTTATGCTTTTTTGAAGGGAACATCCTTCTGTATCAGAACTCCCCTTGTTTCCATATCCAGATTTCTTCACCAAGAGAGATAAAGAATTGGCAAGAATCATTGACCATCATGTAAGATTGACTTTCTTAAACTACTAGCAAAAGCTTTGTACTTTAAAGGCACTTAGAATAAGAAGTGTAGTTCTGGGACTGAAGTATTAACATGTGGAACTAAAAGGTAGAGCTACGATTGGGCATTGCCAAACAGAATTATATTTTGCTGTCCTATCTATACATGTCAGTGCCTTCATTGGGTTACAGAAAATTTCGCCTGTCATTTATAAAATACTAGCATTATTCTGTTTCCTAAATTAGTACTGATTTCTTTTGACAAGGATCTGGTATTTAACACTGAACACTGATTTCTTCTATAATATAGTTTTAATAATGGAACAAAGATCTTTTGACTCAATTTTTGGTGACCATTCTTTGCCCTTGAAATATTAGAAAAGACTTTAATCGCTTTGTTCTTGGTATGAGTTAAATAAGCTGTGGCAATACAAAGCTATTCACTTAAGACTCTTTAATTCATTGAACTATATTTAATTGACGATTTCTTGCCAAATCATTTTATGACTGCTTCTTTATAGAAGTACAGTTGGAGTAGGGGAGAAAGTATTTGTTTTCTGGTTTCTATTTTTCTTTAAATACAATATGGATTCAATAGTGTATAGAATGTGTTTAAATTAATTTTATCACCAGTAGTTCAGTATTATCTATCAGATTTTGTTTATATTCTTATGTTTAATTTTTGCATTCTATTTAATTAGTGATCTTTTGAGAAAGAGTGAACAATTATTTCATTTACTGATACCGTTGAATAGTGATTTGTCATACGACTAATATTTAACCCCCTCTAGCAATAGCTACAAATATTGGGGTTTGGAAACTGAATGATACCCTGGAATCACAAAATAAAAGCTGTAGTGTCAGGGTATTATTCAATAATGAAGTTTTTACTAAACCAATCTATCATATGTACAGGGCATTATCAAAAATTCCTAATAGTTTATCAATTGCAGCATCTATATTTTACTATTCACTCAACTGAATAGAATAGATTATAAGAGATAGCAAACTGCCAATGTATATATACACATATGTTGTGTAGTTTTAATAACAGAACAAAAATCTGTTGACTCAGTTTTTTTTACCCTTGAAAGACTAGAAAGACTTTAATCACTGTGTGATTAAAAACATCTGCCTAGGGCTAGTTGAAGAGACAGAAACATTATTTTGAATGATAGAGAGGAGGCTAGGAAGGGGAGGCTAGGAAATGGATACTAAACTCTATCAACTTTTCTTCTTTCCAAGGGTATAAGCGTTATCTAAGTAATGAATCTATTTAGAGGGTACCTATGAAGAGTAAAGGAATCTTTTCGGAAAATAAGTTTGAAAACTGATAGGATCCAAATTGTTTGATATGTGGCTAGCCTAATCAATTAGTAGTTTGTCATATTGATTTGGAAAGGTTTATGGAAGTCTCTTTGAATATCACAATTAAAAAAACATGTCTAAACCATTTCCTTTCAGATAGTTGTAGTAGTGCTTTGTACTTAATATTTCACACTTTACAAAATGTTCTTTCATTAGTTACTTTAATCCTCACAACAATCCTGTAAAAACATTTATCAATAAGAATGGTGGTTTACAATTCAGTTACTCGCCTAAGGTTTTAAAGTTAGTAAATAACTGAGTGTACACATAAAACCAAATCTTAGGACTCCAAATCTACGTTGCTTTTCAGTTCTCCATAGTTGCTCAATTTCTTGGTTTATAATCCCTAACCTGAATGGGAGTGGGAAGGTAGAATCTGTAGTATTAGTTAGAAACAAAAACGCACAGCTACAGTTTAATTGTTCTGCTAAATTAATTGATTTTATTGAGTGGCCATAATAAGCAATGAATAAGGCAGATACCTAATTGTTCAATAGATATTAAGATACCTTGTACACTGCTGGTATGCCATAGTGTGATGAATGAATACCTGAGTGAATGGGTCAAATAAAGCAGTAAATGGTGCTTCTATTTCCCATCAATTTCAAGCATGTCTCCGTCCTTCTAGCTGCCACATCAATGATAATAATGGCACATAAAAGTAAAGACAAGGCAATGGTTTTTCCAAATTGAATTTGTCAAGGTCAACAGAGACAAAGATTTGAAAGAAAAGTTTACTTTTTTTCTGGGCTAACAAAAAGAAGGATCCTAATGTTATGGCGAATTCTAGCCTTGCAAAGTTGCAACAAGGGAGGAAAAGAAGAACAGCAGCCTCCTGGACTAGCAATATGG